CGATCCAAATACCTCCTTGATGACCAAGGTAGTTCTAATTCGCCTGTCTCAGATCGATATAGACAGACACATGTCAGTTCCCTCTATTTCCTCACCTCCTAACTTTGGAGGGAAGGATGGTCTACCATCCGGATCTATCGTCCATGAACTTGGCAACCTGGAAAATACTCCCACTTTGGCATCAGTGCTCGATCGAGCTCGAAAACCATAAACTCGATGTCGATGTGTAAATAAATGAAATCTTTATTAAATATACTGAAACAAAGAACTACCTTACCAACCTTCTTTGTAATTGTTGCCTACTTGGCTTTCTATTTATGCTTTAAAATGTTATATATCTCCTACTGTTGCCCATTAACCAGATGATTCTGGTACGTAGCCCTTTTGTCTCACTCTAGGGTCAAACCTCTTTTCACAGGACTCAGTACCACCCGTCCTCCATGTAAACGCATTGTTCCTCAATGGTCTATAGATCTTTCTAAATTCACTCATGTGCCCGCCATTCGAGCCCATTTTCTCTTCAAATGCGAAATTACTTACTTTGAACAGCCTTCCTAGTGGCTGTCATATCTGCCAAGGGAACACACAAAACAGCTGGATTGTGATTCGATCCACCTGTTATTCAATTTTCCTGATAAAGTGACTTCCTATGTTAATGTCTCATTCCTGACCTATTTGACTAGTTCTGATGTTTTTCTGTGCTTCATCTTACCATCATTCTTCAGATCACCATCATCTCCTCTAGAGCACATGCTCCACAATAATTATGTAAGACGCTCACCAGCATTTTGTCTGGACACTACCAGAGCTTCTAAACAGATGACGGGCTCTTTTTATGCTTTCATTATTTTCATTTCGAAAGTCCAGTTTCATCCTATCCATCTCTAGATCGATGGTCCAGACTGTATCTATGGCTTGCCAGCGGTCAGACGAGTCACCTAATACTATCAGCTATAGCCTCGCTCCACGGAGTGCTGTCTTCCTCGGCTGCATCCAGAGTAGAATCGAGACTCACAACATCTGCCATGCAGCAATATGATCCATGCCATCTACCTTTGCGGGGCACTACTGGCTACATGTAGGTACATGCAATACCTCTGGATTTGGCAGAAATGTGTTGGCATCCTTCCTACCGTGATGTCCCACCTGCCAATAAGCTTGCCAGTCACCCATATGTGTGTCTTCACAGAGGCCACGAAGAAGAAAGAAAGGTTACTTACCTGTAACCATGGTTCTTCGAGTGGACCTCTGTGAATTCACACTACCCGCCCATCCTCCCCTCTGTCCGTCACGGGTATCTTATTGTTGTATAACTCTCGTGCCCGGCGGACAAATTGCAGGAACTGAGGGGAATCTTGGGTGGGAGGAGCTTGTGCCTCATGGGGGATCATACCATAAAATTGTTACTTTTAGCTCTGGAATGCTCCGAGAACGTCAGCGCAGGTGCAGACTAAACCCATATGTGTGAATTCACAGAGATCCAGTCAAAGAACCATGGTTACAGGTAAGTAACCTTTCTTTAGTCTGCTTAGTCATTTGGATTGCTACATTATTCACCATCATTAATGCTATTGGTGTAAACTGAGTTTTGATCTTCCTTGTATTGTTGTTGGTGTCAGCTCTGGCAGGAAGGGATTCACCAAACTTTCTAGTCCCACCCAGGGGCAAAAACTGCTGGCTAATTCAGGCTGGTTAATCCAGCACAGTACTTACCAGGGGCTGTCAATGTGTGTATACAGGGAATTTTCCTTGTGGCAGCCACTGTTTCTCAAACCCTTGCCAATCATGGACGTGGATAAAAATGGACTAGACGGGGTATGTTCACTGAAGCTATAGACATACAGTACTGGTAAGTGAGGAACAGGTCAAGTTCACAGGTATTGCTATTTGGGGCACCATCCACCAGCATTTCCACGTACCTGCTTCTTAGTCATCAGTGCATCTGGGCCTGACTTCAGTAAAATCACTACTAATTAAACATACTGCCACATACCTGCTTCTTAGTCATCAGTGCATCTGTCATCAGTAAAATCACTACTAATTAAACATACTGCCTTGCTTTGGAGGCTTTCTTTGTCTTGCAGAATAACATTATAAAATGTGGGCTGTATGTACAAAGAGTTTTAGAATGGCTTTAATGTATGTTTATAATGGACTTCATTGCGTGCTTATAAACGTGGCAGGTGCTAGGTAACATAACCTAGAAAATATGCAACCTTTAAGCATTTCTGCTTTCAGACTTTAAGGAGCACATTTCTTTCCATCACTTCTAGGGAATCATCCATATAAAGTAGGCTTCAAGTAGCCATGTAGCTTTTTGTTATAAGCTCCAGAGCAAGAAAAGATGTGAAAGGAAATTCTCCTTTCTGAATTAAGGGTGTGGCCACATCACCCTAACCCAGTGGTTCTTAACCTTTGTTACTCAGGTGTTTTTGAACTGCAACTCCCAGAAACCCCAGCCAGCAGAGCTGATGGTGAAGTCTTCTGGGAGTTGAAGTCCAAAAACATCTGAGTAACCCAGGGTTAAGAACCAGTGCCCTAACCTGCACCTCCATCAACAGTGGCCTCCAGGACATTACAGCTTTTTGACTTTCAGTTTTTAGCCTGGTTGTTACAATCTAGTTCTCATTTTGAAAAGAGACATAGTTTGTTCCACAGCTTGAAATTTACTTGCTTGAACTTCCAACCGAATATTTGCCTCTGCTCCATTTTCTCCAGCTACTAAGAGCATAATTAACAAGGCCATCTAAGCTGCAGCATTTGGTCTATGGCACTCCATAAAAGGGCCGGCTCACTGGCACCCACTTTCCAAAGTTTTTGATGCTGTCATGCAAAATAATCCTTTGTGGGTGAGGAATCTATTGTGGAAGAGATGCCATTTCAAAAAAAAATGTCTGAAGGCCAGTAAAGTTGTGTATATATACATATGGGCAACAGCTGGGAGTAAAGGAATACAGTATGCCTGCTCCAGGGCTGGTGTGTTGTCTGCCCTTTGGCCAGAACCTGTTAGGAATCCACCTCGGCTAACATCGTGATATGCCTTCCTCCCTTCTCAAATATGAGCTAGACCTCCTACACCCCTATAGATGCAGATCCATAGTACAGCCAGGGATCAGAAGACAGTGTTACTAAACTCACTTGACTTTCAAAAAAGGATTTTTTTCTTTATTTTGGATGCAATTTTTTAGCTGTGCTATCCTGAAGTTGTGTTTAAGGGTAGCATGAAATGTTAGTAAGCAAACAAATAAATTCTAATTGTCATAATGATTGGTAATTCTAGCATTTCATATCAGACAGAAACAAAAATAAAATAAAGAAGACAAAAACATTGTGGCACCTTAAAGACAAGTCCCACTCTTATGTCTGAGAAAGTGGATCTGTTCATGGACGCGCGTATTAAAATAGAGCAGTTCGTCTTTAAGTTGCCACAACATTTTTATCTTCTTTAATTTTTCTTTTTAAATTCTTGTTTTGGTTTTTTCCTGATATGCTAGCACAGAATAACAGAGCCATATATTCTAAAACTTCTAGCATTTCAGTTTCAGTTAGCAGAATCTTGAGGATTTCTAAATAACAGAGATGTACGGGGGTATGAGTTATACAGCACCATTAAGTGCGCATGGGGCTTTACGGAATAGCCTAATACTAATAATTAGTATTATCTGCACATTTCTCTAATGACCGTATTTTATTATGTCTCCAGATTTCATGTTTCATGCAGAAATCCATATCCATGTGAATATTTGACTGTGTGTGTATGTATCATTCAAAGCACTCAATACTGTACTTGGTATTTAATTTTTTTATTGGCTTGTACACATGCACACGTGCAGAGAGCTCTCAAAGATTTCCTGAAAAAACAAGCTCTTGGTGGCACGTAAATGAGCACATGGAGACTGGAGACAAATCTATTTCCACTTTCTAGGCTGCTCAGTTAGGAGAGGCTGTTGCTGATCTTCAGTGAAGAGGTGGTTTCTCAAGTTGCTGCCACGTTCCCCAAACAGCCATGAGCATAGCATACAACAGTCTAGAGATAAATGATGCCACTCCTTATTCAGGTGTCTATTGTGGAGGGGAAATTATGTGTGGAGAAGTAATATGGCCCTGTTACACCATAAATGATAAGTACTCAAGAAAAGTAGTAAAAGGGCTACGTGTCAGAAGGCACCACCATGCTTGGCAGAGGAACTATATTCATTAATTAGAACGCTGTTGTCCCAACAACTCAAGTTTGCTTGCTGTCACTCTTTATAACTGATGTCGATTGGGAGATGTAGGAACATTGTTACCTGTTGCACAAAATAAACTGCCCCTCCCAAATGGAGAGGCAAAAATGGCTGCAGAGCAAGAATTGAAAGGTTTATTTATGCCACTTTGACACTGACAAAAAAAAATCTTCCATGTGGCAGCATTCCATCAAATTAGATGTTAACATTTACACATGAGAAAATTAATCTTTTAGACAACAGCTCCAGGTAGCATGACTAGTGGCCATACTAGGGAGGGGATTCTGAGCAGTGTAGTCTGAGAGAATCATGTTTCCAAGCTCTGAACTTACCACACAATGAGCCCAGTTGGGTGCAATGTCTCTATAGCTCTTCCCTGGATGACACGCACTTAGAAAAAGGTCATTAAGGCTGATGCTGATATCTGTCTAGACAGCTTTGGAATACCTTTCAGACATGCACAGTGGAAGATGGTCTGTAGTAAAATAAGTGAATCAAAAGGTAAGGTGACACTTTTTTTTATTGGACATTTTCTGAAGTTCAAAAGAGACTTGCATTTGTTTAAAAAAAAGAAGAAAAGGTTCTCCCCCTGCTTTGTCAATATACATTTCACATTTTCTGATAGCTCCTGCAGGAGAAAGGATATACTTTGGAACCCTTAACACTGATTAACCCAGAGCAGTTTCAGAGCACACTGTACATTCTCTGGAGATATATCCCTAAGAAGTTGCTAATCGTTCCACAATGGCTGTGTGTGGCAACCACACTCATTGTGCCTGCCTATTGACATCACTATCACAGCTTCCTGATGGCAAAGGGGCATTTGCCTCTTATCACACCCACTTGGCAATAAATGATAATGTGCACCTATAAGCTCCAAGACAGCTTTGTGGCCATAGGAAACACTTGGGAAATAAAATGGACTACAAGCTATTGGGCAGTTCCTCCTGAACATGTCCCCAATTTGATGAGACTGTTCTAGGGGAGGGGGGAGTTTGGTACATAAAGGTAGACTTTTGGTTTGTTTGGGGGGTTTTTTTTGGATGTCATCAAATTGTATTTTAATGTAAACTGCTTGCATTGTTTGGGTATTTGCTGGTAGACAGTTCTCTTTCTCTGGGATAGCTTTGTAGGTGTCCGTTGTGCACACTTGGAGGGTTTAATTGTTCTGTGTTGAGATGCAAAGTTCTTAGCAAAGGCAGCAATGATGATGGCAATCCAGTTAATGTGTAGCGTTTCCCCCCCGCTGTGTCTTAAAACAGGAATAATTCACTCCGTGGAGAAAACTGTATATCACCACCACCACCACCACCACTACCAGCAATAACAACAATGAATGAGAGAGATAAAAACATGATGTGTGAGCAAAGAAATCACATAATCCAGAGCCACCCCAGAGATAATAATTAATAATAATATGAGAAGCTAAAGCCCATTAGGGCTCACTGAATAGAAAGGGAGCATGTGGAATTTAGATGCCTTGTGAAGGGAAGGCCACGTTCTTCTATCCGACTATCAGGCAAGTTGTTCCGTAATTAAAGGCAGCTTTGAAGCAACGTTGTCAAGGGGTGGTTTGAAGGGAGGGGAAGAGCATCTCCCCAGTCTTGTTCCTGTAATAAGAAGGAAGAAACACATGCTGCCTCTGAGCCTTCATATGCTGCCAAAGGATTTGCAACAAAGAGCATTTGTGAGAGGACGGGGTGTATATATATATTTTTTTCAAGCATTCCCCACCAAAAGAAAGATAGTCAATCATGCCGGCTGGCTAGGTATGCAATCATCAAACCCCTTACACCAAAGCATCTTCCTGAAGGCTGTGAGTCTATTTCTAGAACAAACAGTATCAGATTAGCTGCATTTAACTATATATTTAGTTATGTATAGATGGGTTTGCTTCTGTGTCTACATTGTGTGTGTGAGTGAGTAAGATCTATTAAGCATGGATGAACGTACTAATACCTAACACTAATATAATGATATTTATGTGCTAACTGCTCAAAGCACTTTACACATGGTATGTAAGATCTGCTTAAACAAATTATTTGGAAGGATGGTGTGACAATCTATTAATTAATACCAATTAACAAAATAAATTACTTCAATAATCTTCACAGCAGTGCACATTTTCCAGAATTTTCACATCCATGAATCTGATGGTGAACCGGGCCTGAGATTACCATTGGCTTGCTGAAGGCCACCTTGCAGGTCTGTAGCCAAGATATGGCTTGAGCAGACAATGTACTCAAAGGGCATCTATCCATTACATTACACCAGCTAGAGACAGGAAAAATAGAAGCACATCTGGGGGTGGCATGATGTCCCCTTTGTTGAGGATAACTTGGAAATTACACAAAAGAACTGGCTAAAGTCAGACAAGGCCTGCTTCTTTTATATTCTCCCTGGGTTACATGTAAATACTGTCTCAAATGAAGAATTTCAAGGGTGTAGCCTAAGATCTGTATGGTGTGAACTGTATGCTAAACCTTGAAGGGTTCAAATTGGTGGCTATCATACTACCTCTCAGATATAGCAGCTGTTTTAGACACGTTTGTTGCAACAAGATGGGCTATGCTTAACTAAATTAAATATATAGTTTTAATATTAATTAAATATTTTAAATATTTTAATTATTTTAATTACTATTTAAAATCTCAAGAGTCTGTATCTGAATGCTTCCATGTGTATATGGAGACATGGAGTATGTGGAAAGAAAGCTGCACTGCAGACCCAATACAAGCCAAAATATCTGAGTATATTCCTGATGATCAAGGCAGAGTCACAGATAAGAGTCACAGTTCCACATAGATCTTTCTGCATTCAGAACAACTGCTGCTTGCCCATTCTGAGTCCAAAACTGGATACAGTGCCTATTATCTACCTTGTGAATTCCACAATTTGTCAGATATGTTTGAGTAACACAGAAGAGTTAACTTCGGTGTTGTGTATCACACAAAAATAGAACTGACTCAATGTGTGTTAGAAGTTTAAATCTTAAATCTTTCAAATGGAAAGATGTATGACTTTTATTGGAAGGATCAGGGAAACAATCTCGGTGTATTTGAATTACCCCCAACATTAATTATAACAAGTTTCAGAGGTACTGGAATTAGACGAAAGTACCCTACCCAGACAATATTGGGGGCAATATAGGAGCAGGAAAAAGCCTGCATTATCCTACAGAAGGGTCACTCAGTTTGGCAAATATCTCATCACAGCAAAATTTACTGGTTTTTTTTAATTGATGAGGTTCGCATAACAGCATAGATAAATGCCACTTGAAAGCTCTTACTGAAGCTGAAACACAAACGGCCACTGCTCATATAGCTTATCAATCTATCTAAAGCATTAAACTGGTTATACTCATATGCCCAGAAAGCACCAACCCATATTTGTTTGAGCTACCGCCACTGGAAATCAGTGAAACAGTTCTGTTTGTGGATGAAAACCCAGCAGGATTTTCTTTGGGTGCTGTGAAAGGGGGTTGTGTGGAAAAGCAGATGCTGTATTTAGGGAATTCGATCAACTGTTTTCAGCACTTTCGTTTATACTATTCATCAGCCGCTGCCTTTGCAGTCAGGTATCAAGCGCAGCAACTTTGACAAGAAGACAAGACAAGTGTGGGAACCTTGACAAGAATACTGAAAGCTGCTTTTTTAAGATGCACAACCTGATTAGAAGCAGGAGGGCATGCAAGAAATCTCCTGGACTCTAGTTGGTGCCTATTGCATTAGAAATACTGTGATGTGTGGAAGGATTCATCATCAACATTGCTCTCCCCCAACACCAAAACTAAAACTAAAACTAAAACTAAAATTAATACTAATACTAATACTAATACCAATACTACTACTACTACTACTACTACTACTACTACTACTACTACTACTACTACTACTAATACTAATACTAATACTAATACTAATACTAATAATAATAATAATAATAATAATAATAATAATAATAATAATAATAATAATAATAATAATAATAATAATAATAATATCACCGACCTATTCTGCATAAATCCATGCAGTATGCACAACATGTCATGTATGCATAACTCCTTCTAGTTTGGAAATTTAGGGCATGTTGCATGTTGCTTGATAGAGATGGCAGTAGTGAAAAAAGAATGCCATCACCCTCTTCCCCCATTTACCATGCAAGAGGCTTAGATGGACTCTGCCCTTGGTACTGCATTTTTTAGGACCTGTACATTTCTCTGGAAAAAGAGTGCCCTTAAAAGTGTTCCTTCCATTGCCTACCAAGTGTCTGCATCCAACTCTGAGATTGACTCTCAAAAGTCATGGAGATGTGCTTTCTAGAGATCAGATCTTCTCTCTGCTTTACATCCAGCCATCTCGAGCAGCTTTTGGTGTGAAAGATTAGGCCAAGCAATATTTAAATAACTATTAAATCAAGTCCACTCCGCTTCTGTATATTGAATTAAACCTCATGGCAGATCATAACACACAGTGGATATATACAGGCAGAAATGACTGTGTAAGGTGTGCGTGCAAGCAAGGGCTCTGTACAATAGCCAACAATGTTTTTCTGAAGTCTGTCAAATCATCCCAAATAGTAATAGGATTTGCACTATTTGTTACATTTTATAATGTTATAGAGGAACATCATAGAGGAAAGTTTCTCTTACACACTGTTTGGCCATCTCTTAATCATCATCAACACATGCACAACAGCCAAACCTGCAATCCTGCGCCTGTTTACACCACAGTAAGCTCCACTGTGTTCAATGTTGCTCCCTCCTACGTTAAAGACTTAAGACTATCTTAAGCTGAAAAGATTGTTCTCTATTTTTTTTAAATGCTGTATGGAAAGTTAAATGCTGTCAAAACTAGGTTTTGGGCTGAAGGAAAAAAATGATTATTAAAATGCCCCTGAGTAGGAGCTGACTATGTTCTCCACATTACTGTGTTTTGTGTTTTCTTCGCAAAATGTATAATTGACATACAGCATTCACTGCCACTCGTATGAGAAGTGGGGTCTGTGGCTGAGAAAGCTTTCAATGGGGATTTGGCATTCATAACGATAAGACAATCAACAGCTGCCACCAAGCTGTTCTACATAGAACATCCATATTCAGAGGCAGTGTACCTCTGCATACTATTTGCAAGCATCCAGAAACTGGTGGGTGTTCTGGAGACATCTGATTGGCACCAGATAATGCAATAGATCAACTGTTAGTTTGATCCCACATATCCTTCTGCAATATTTGGGGGAAGAGGAGATGTAACCCAGAAGGTGTCATTTCTAGAGTGACTAACAGTGCTAGACACACTTAAACTGTTGCTCTAAGTAAGTAAGTAAGTAAGTAAGTAAGTAAAGCACTGTTGCCGAGGATAGATACATTTTTCCACTCCTTCCCTGGGAACACTGCAGCTGAGATTATAGTGTAAAACAAAAGCAGAGGATGGTGGAACTCTATGTTGGAATTTCTCCCTTTAGGGTCACCTCATCCAAAGCTGGTTTTCAGACCTGCACTGGGGGGGGGCAGGAAGAGTCACTCTTGTTCCAGTCTTCCTCAACCCAGAACCTTCTAGATGTATGGGATTTCAATCTCCACTTATCACCCCAGACAATATGGTTGATGTAGTAGGAGTTCAAGCCCAACACCTCTGGAAAGTTTAGAAAGGCTGTGCTGGAAAAGCATTTGACCTTAGTGCTATGTCTGCACACATTTGAAGTATATTAATAATGTAGGATGAAAATCCGCATTAAAGACGATAATATGCTAGCCAAAGTAACTATTTGGACTTCAGGGCAGAACACAGAAGACAAAAAGATGCTTCAAACTGCACTGATCTAAGTATCCCTGGTTGCAATAGTGAAATGGGGGTGAGGGGGGAGACATTTAAAAAGAGGTGTTTTTTCTTTTTTAAAAAGCCCTAACCTTCTTTGGAGGTCTGTGAAAAGATGCAAGTGGTAAAAAGAAGGAGAGGAAGAAGCAAAGCGAGGAAGACTCCTGTCTTCCCCCTTTTCCATTCTCCCTGTTTTGTCTCTTTTTTTTTTTTTTCAAAGNAGAAACCTTTTCGCCACCAGGCTGGAGAAAGTGATCATTCGTCTCAAAAAGTGATCATTCAGACCGACGGGTCCTAATCGGCGAGATGCTTCCCGAACTGGACTCGGGGCGCGGGAAATTAGACGCCTAGATTTAGATG